TGCATCGGAGATCCTTCTAGAGTTGTGTCAGTTGATGATGTTCAAGTCACAGAGCAGCTATCATATGAGGAAACTCCCATTGCTATACTAGATAGACAGGTTCGGAGATTGAGGACTAAAGACGTAGCTTCGGTGAAAGTACTTTGGAGAAACAATAATGTGGAAGAAATGACTTGGGAAGCCGAAGAAGACATGAAGTCTAGATATCTTCACTTGTTTCCTCATCCAAAGAAGGATCCGACTGAGTCATCCCAGCCTTAAGGTACGTGTATGGATTCTTGTGTTAGTTATTATCATTGATCGTGTGAGGCCATTGTCGTTATCAATGATTGTGGTCCTATGTGGAATTGAATTATTGAGTTTTCTACAGGAAGGGTTGATAGTAGTACTGTTACAAAGGCGACTCTGCCAAAATTTATATAGATCCTGGGGAGTTAAACATTCGAGGACGAATGTTTCTAGGGGGGAAGGATGTTACATCTCGCATTTTCGTACGTTAAAGTATCGTCATAAGTTAATCGACATAGGCTCGAGAATGAGATTATTTTTGAGGTTATAAGCATTTATGCTATTTGTAACAGACGATAAGTAAGTGTCATGAAGGTTAAAGGGTAAACGAATCAAAGAAAATGAGTTTCGTTGAAGGTTGTTAATTTGGGATAAAATATGATTCGAGCTATAATACCCAGTATTTATGGACTAGTGCCATACAAGGTACCATATGACCATGATAGTAAGGTACATAAAGTGTGCTAAAAGTGAGTAGTATTTTAAGTAATTTGAAATAATTCTTAATTATGTGGATAATTGGGTAATTAATAATTTTTGGTGGGGGATTAGCTAATTTTATAATCTTTGGATAAATTTAGTAAGCCCCCCAACATGGCAGCAGTTGAGGCCTTGATCATAGCCAAAATTGTGACTCTTAATTCATGTAAAAGGTGGCACATTTAGAAGGGTTTTGTGGCTAAGTCACCACATAAGTGGGGCCCACACCCAAAGATATTAAAGACCTCTCTAATTCACTTTGTATCTCTACAATGTAATGAAGAAAGCTTCAGCAAAGATTATATTATATGATAGCAACGTGATTTGCTACAAAATTCATACGAAGTTATACTACGTAATAGCAACGGGATTTGTAATTCTACAGGAGCCCGGTATAATCTTTCTTAAGAACATCATACGGATTTTTCCCTATTTCGATCTCGCTATTACGTGTTTCGTCGCGATTGATGTGTGTTAGAGGGATTGTCAAGAGAATCGGCCCAGGTATGTTAAGGCTATCCCTTCTTTCTTTTTGGCATGATTCATATGATACAAACAAAACGAGAAAACGCACATCTTTCATAAATGACTCTGTTCATAGAAGTACTAGGGGTGCCTATGTTCTTGATTCCCCATGAGAATTATTATTATATCTTTTGTTCATGGGTCTCAGAAAAATACGTAGTTGATAAAGTTATCCGAAAGGCATATTGATCTTATGACATTCCGAGAAATCTTATTAACGTATTTCTTATGTATTTCATTCATTTATACATGTACATTGACTCATGAAAAGATGGCATTATATACGCGTATATTATATGTACATGGGATATGGGAAAAGGTTACAGCGTTATATACGCATTACCACCTGATCAGCTGGTATATGTTGATAATTTTGCCCACAGTGGCCGAGACGACAGATGGGATGCCCTTAGAGACTTGATGATGTTATGTACACCTATACCTAAGCATGATACGACATTTATACGTACGTGCATGACATTATAAATATTTCAGGATTCACACAGTTATTTAGACTCACAGGTGGAATTCTTTACTCCATGTTTCATTTATGTCTTTATGTACTATTTTTATGCCTTACATACTCGGTATATTATTCGTACTGACGTCCCTTTTGCGTGGAGATGCTGTGTTTCATGCCCGCAGGTGTAGGTAGTCAGGCTAATGGTCCCTCTTTTAAGGATCTTTGATCAGCGAGAGTTGGTGTGCTCTACTTGATCTGTAGTTGTTACTAGTTTTGGTACGCTATTTTTGGTATGTAGATATGGGTACGATGGGGCCCAACCCCGTCCTTTATATAATTGTACACTCTATTAGAGGTCTATAGACATTCATATATTGTTGGATAGTATGTAACCTTGTCGGCTTCCAATTTTGGATATATAGTTGTCTATCGCAGCCTTGTCGACTCGCCCTACCGTATTCCGCATGTATATGTATATATGTATTTTGGACATGTTTTCCTCATGTATGTCATTCACGTAATTCAGTAGTTTATTGATAGATGTTATTCATGACCTACCCTTAATTCATGTTTATATCTTAGACGCATGATTAGGGGTGTTCGACAGGTAGGACTCGGGCACTCGTCATGGCCCATCGGTTTGTGTCGTGACAGTAAAGATGCCCTCGATCCATTCCTTTAGCCGGGGGTCCGCATTTGGAACCCGAGCAACGTCTGCACAACCACAAGTATGTATGACACTTAAGGAGAGACTACACTTACGAGATGCGTTCCACTTCTCGGTCTTTGTCAATGCTCAAAAAGGCGGCCTTGCTGTCCGACGGGTAAGCTTGATCAGTCCCCCTCAAAAAATTCGAGGACTATATAAATGGAGTAGATGATCGATGGTGAACCGACGAGACTCGGTCTTGTTCACGAAGTAGCGAAGGAGGATCACGATCCTCTAAGGAGATGGATGGATTTGCCCGAGGCACACCTTGTACCTTTTTCAAAAATCCAGAACAATGGGATCCACTGGGCCCAGTATGAAGGGGTAAGTATAAACACTTAAGTACCCCTCCACGTGGGTAGTAATGGCACCGTCAGACCCGGGGACTACTACATCCTTGCCTTCCCAATTGCAGTCCTTTTGGACCACGAGAAGGACGTCTTCGATCACGGAGCATATGTACCTTGATGCTCCTTCACCCCGGTCTTTTTTTCGTGAGGGTTTCTCGACCTTAAAGTCATCTGCAATTGAGCAGCCCCTGGGAATAAACACTTTCAAGGGAGGCTCAGGGGCCGGTTCATCGGCAGCCACCTCGGGAGAAGCCGTTTCGAAAGCAACTACTTCAGGGGCAATCGCCTCAGTACCGGCGACAGATTGAGAAGATGAAGAGGCAACTTGTTGAGGAACATATTTGGAGGTTTTAGCCATTGTTATCTGGAGAAGTTTGAAAATTTAAAGTAAGAATACGATGGTTTGAAAGAACGCATTTGAAGGATGAAGAACAAAGTATGAAGATTTGAAGGAAATATAGGTAAAAACCTGAAAATCACTATGAAAGTTGAACGACAAGGATGAAGATAAGAAGGTTTGAAAGAAGTTTGATGATAGCTGGGAAGCTCGAAGGTAAAAGCTTGGTCGAAAAGTAGAAAAAGAACAAAGGATGGAAGCTTTTATAGGGAAACAGGCGACAATTCGCATTCGGTGGCAGTCGGCCAATGATTATGACGCGTCCGAAGTTAGAACGATGCTACTGATGGGACGTTTCGGCTCCTTCATCGTAACGTACGAAAGAAGGAACCGGAGAACATCTATCGTTTCCCATTGTTTCGGCAAACCTACTCTCTGAGAAACAAGGGGACTATCTGTATACGGGTAAAATCGGGGGTAGTGAGTACCACAATTTCCCGGTGAGGCAAACACAAGAACATGACTGCCAGAAATCGGAATCGAAGCCAGGAGCCTCTCGCATCAAGGCCCGAGCAAAACACTTGCCCTCGGAACCATCGAAACCACGCCCCCGGGTCCGGTTCGAGTTCCGAGGCCTCGGAGAGCATTACTGAACGGCCACACATGATTAACAAAGGGTCGTGATATCCGTGTATTCGGTTGGATATCGACCCGTATCAGCGGTAGATAAGTGATTAGCGAAGAGGAAGATTTTTACCTTTTTTAGAATTGTACTTAGGGTAAAACTTCACTACTATATAAAGGGGAAGCTGATTATTCATTAGGGACATTGTAACACGCATACCAAGGCAATATACATATGTTCTCTCTGTTTCTAAAAGTTATTCAAAGTTCTTGCTTTTATTCATAAGTTCTTCATAAGTGTTGGCTCGGAACCGAAGGTAGATTTCTTGTTAAGCCGTTAACCGAGCCCAGATTCACTATCATCATTGGTTTGGCTATTTACTCTATTTTTTATTTGCTTACCTAACGTCATTAATCACTTGTATTGAATTAGTTCATATATTCTTAAAATCGCGTATAAATTTAATTGTTATCCACCTTTAAGAGTAAACAAAAACAATGGGTGGAAAGTAACTCAAGACTAATTAAAATAAAATTCTTCTAGAAACACTTACACAATAAACTCATTGAGAGACAAGTATATAATTATACATTTTCTTTTGTGGAAACAAGTGTATAGTAGTACTATTATTTACACTATTGTGCATACAACATGTAAATTTCGAGCTGTGTCGACAACTCACCCAAACAAGAATTTTGAGGTAGTTTGAAGGAGTGGCTGTTGACCCGAGGAACCCTCCTCTAGTTTTAAAGCTAATTCGAGGTTGGTTGAAGGAGTGGCAACTACATTACCCAAGTGTCGCTTTCTATCATTTTTACATTTAAATATTTTCTTTTTCTTTTTATCATATTTCTAAAAGAACGTGACCTCTTTATAATTAGTAGTATATGAATATTTTCATTTTATTCTTGACGAATGGACATGAACATGTTTATAAATTCACTAAATTCAAACGACATGTTTTATTAGTATGCCATACATATTTTATTTCAAAATCACAAAATTAAAAGTCTTCATATATTTTGTTCAATCGAACTAATTAAGATACACAATTAAATGAAAAAAGGGGATCCATTATAATTTTAATTTCAGATTCACGAAGAAGTGAAGTTTGGTAGGTAGTATTAGTGAACAACAATATTCCACGTAAGTCACCCACGAGAAAAAAAAGGGAACCCTATCACTTTAATTCACCCCTATTTTTAGTGAATCCTATTTTCCTTCAGAGTGTTAGGTATAGGCAAGAAGCTCGGCAATGAGAAGTAGTAAAAATACAGCGCATCAGTTCCCTATATAACGGAAACAAAATTCATATGAACGTGTATTAAGGGTCTTAAGAAGAAAAATGAAAACCCTAACAATGGAAGTTGCAAGAGTACAAGCAATAGCGTCAATAACAAAATGCATGGACACAATTCCATCAGAATACATACGGTCAGAGAACGAGCAGCCCGCATCCACAACGTTGCATGGTGTGGTTCTTCAAGTTCCAGTAATCGACATAGACGATACAAATGTAGTGAAACTCATATCGGATGCTAGCAAAGAGTGGGGGATCTTTCAAGTGATAAATCATGGAATTCCAGATGAGGTTATTGCGAATTTGCAAAAAGTAGGGAAAGAGTTCTTTGAGGTTGTACCACAAGAGGAGAAAGAAGTGATTGCAAAGACTCCAGGGTCGCAGAATATTGAAGGGTATGGTACTTCTTTGCAGAAGGAACTTGAAGGGAAAAGAGGTTGGGTTGATCATTTGTTCCATAAGATTTGGCCTCCTTCTGCCATCAATTATCGTTATTGGCCTAAAAGCCCTCCTTCCTACAGGTTTTTTTTTTCTTTCTCACTTCATATCTTTCAACTCTAAAATAAATATGCATGCTGTTAAGGTGCTGTCGTTTGTGTTAGGGATTTGTTAGAATAGATTTTTAAGCTTTTCTTTACGCAGAAAAAACTAAAGTATCAAATCTTATATCCTAGACAAGTTAAATGCGTATTAGTAAATTAAACTAAACCACTGTCGAGAAATGAGATATATCTAAGCCGTATCTTAGGTTCCCATCACACTTTCCTTCCATTCGACCTTACTCAAATAAGTTGGCGTTTGGACAAAAAATTGTATATTTTAAAAAAAAAATAGTATTTGAAATTAAGTTGAAATATAATATTTATAATTTAAAATTATATTTCGACGTGTATTTCACTTTTAAAAAAATAATGCAAAAATAGTGCAGTTTGTGAGTGAGAAATTTGCTTTTTCTTTTCGAAAAAATTTTAATTTTTGAAAAACTCATTTTCAATAAACTTAGCAAAATTTCATGTAGAAATGGTCCTAAACGTTACTCTACCGAAGAGAGAGAGAAAAGCTGCGTCTTGGATTTTTATTAAATTCTGCCAGCTCATCGGAATTAAAAGGAGTCTACCATAAGAAGTAGCCATTGTTGTCAACATCGTCATGGGAATTGACTAATTAAAAAGGGTTAGCCAGAATTACTCTTTTTGTTTTAATTCTAAACAAGACCAGTTACGCCCAACGTCACTGGGAGCAGTTGTACTCTGCAATTCACAGCGAAGACACGTGTTACGAGTTTGAACAAGACAAATTCGATTGAACTAATGAAAATATGCCGCCTGTTTCAATTCTGTAATATATGTGTGGCTATAGAATTTTAAAACTTATTATAGTATTTAATATGATTATATAAAAGCTTATAATTAAGATAAAATAATAAGATCAACTTAAATTATTTTTTACATTTAGGAAGGTATCATTCTTTTTTAAATAAACTAGTAAGGTAATAATGTCGTTTTTTCAAATGGAGGGAATAATGGATTTTCGTGAGTAATAAGATGAAATAAGACATCTATGAAAAATAGTCTGTCATTGGTTAGGAAAATTGTTGTTATCTCTTTATATAATCTTTCTATCACTTGAATTTAATTTTGCAATTGTGTTAGGTTTAAAGTTCGTATTTTTAATATCAGTGTTAGAACCCGCGCGATACACGGATAATTTGACAGAATATTAATCTTATAAAATTATGATCTAATATATCATATTATTTTAATAAATATTAGTTGTATTTTATTACTCCCTTCGTCACAATTTATGTGAACCTGTTTGACTGAGCACGAAGTTTAAAAAGAAAATGAAGACTTTTGAAATTTGTGATCCTAAACAAGTCAAAAATGGGTCCAGAGTATTTGTGTGGTTATAAAAACTTCTCATTAAGGGTAGAATTGGAAGTTTAAGTTAAAATGTTTCTAAATTTAGAAAGGGCCATTATTTTTGGAACAGACCAAAAAGAAAATAGATTTACATAAACTTGAACGGAGGGAGTATCTAATATAGTGTGTATAAATATAACAAAATTTATACAAAATTAAAGGATACACATCATATAGTAGGGCTGTGCATGGATCAGATCAGATCGGATTTAGCATATTTCAGATTGAAATTTCGGATTCTACAAAATACAATCTGAATCCGATCCGAATTAATATCGGATCAGATCGAATTTTAAAGTTTGGATCGTATAAATATTTCGAATTTTCGGATTAGATTATACGTATTATTAAGGCTATTGCTAATCTAATCGGCTAATGCGTCTGCCTTATCTGCTTCTTATGTGTTCTGTGCTAATACAAACATCTCTTTGCTTTTCATCCCTTATATCAACATTGCATCTCTAAGAAAATATTTCTCTAGAGGTTCGAGTTGTTATGCCTCTAAGTTGCGAAACTCATACTTATATTTTCTTTGTTAGAAGAGGCAATACAACAAGAAAAATTCGTGTTTCTACAATCATGAGGGAAATATGGTGCCAATGTAGTTAAATCCAGCAATTGTAAAGGTAATAACTTGGAGGAAGATGTAAAGGAAGTACTGGCTATCCGAAATTAAAGTTTAATATTTATACATGCCCTAATAATTTTGGATTTCGGATCGGGTTAAAATTATACCAATCCGAATTCGATCTGGATATCCGAAAGTTTAATAAACATAATCCGAAATCCGATCCAAATATCCAAAATTGAGCGGATCGGTTCAAATTTTGGATATCCGATCCAAATGCACAGCCCTATCATATAGTAATCAAATAAATTATTTGTTTCTTATTTATTCTTATTATTAAATTAATAAGTACTTAGTGCTATACATTTACTAATGTGAATTTTGATATACTTCTCTTTTAATATAACATAGTTATATATTTTCTTACCCGAAAAATATATTGTTTTAAACTTATATTATACTGTTCAAAATTCTTCAATTGTTTAAATTTATTTTTAATTTTTTTGAGTGTTATTTATTTATCTTTATTTTTTAATTAATTTAAATATAAATATCATAAAATTATCTTTATCCCCCTATTTTGTACATTCTTTTCTACTATAATATTTGATTAGTTTTCTCAATTTTGTAGTTTATTGAAAATTTAAATAATATAATATTATTTTACTAAATTATAATTTTGAATTCATCAAAAGTATAAAGAGATAAGCCTTTTATTATTTTTATAAAAAATCTACCAATATTTTAATAATTATTAATTTGTGTTATATATATATAACACAAATTATGTAAACAATATGCTTAATATGTATATGCTTTATGTATAATATCGTAATAGTATCTTTATATTTTTATATTTTTTATTATAAAATTATGAGTTTTATTTTATTAACTAAAATTTCATACATGAGAAATTTAATTAGTATATATATTTTTACGCTATCGCTTGAAATTCTTTTTTTTTTTTTTTTTTAATAAATTATTTATTGTAAAATATTATTA